TTTATCTTACCAATAATGACTTTGTTCAACAACAACTGTAACAATTATTAAATTATATCTAGAACAACAAAAAAAGAATATAACCAAACTATTGTTTAATCTTACTTCAGCAATTTTTTTTTGAATTAGAATTTCTACGAATGATTAAATATGCCTAGGAGAAAAAAAAGAATTGAATAAAGCTATTTTAGGATTGTACCTTACCAATAAAGATTTTGTTCAACAACAACTGTAACAAATATTGAATAATATCTAGAGCAACAAAAAAACAGAATGCGACCAAACTATTGTTTAATCTTACTTCAGCAATAAATATCTTTTTTTTTGAATTATAATTGTTACAGATAATTAAACGTATCTATAAGAAAAAAAATTGAATCAAGTTATTTTTCGATTGTATCTTACCAATAACGATCTTGTTCAACAACAACTAATAATTATTTAATTATATCTACAACAACAAAAAAAAGAATACAACCGAACTATTGTTTAATCTTACTTCAACAATCAATATCTTTTTTTTGAATTATAATTGTTACAGTAATTAAATATACCTATAAGAAAAAACAGTATTCAATAAGACTTGTTTAATTATGCCTTACCAAGAAATATTTTCTTGATTAATAATCGTTTCAACAATTGAGCAATATCTAGAAAAAAAAGGAATCACTCGGTACATATTTTCTATAGTCAGATCAGAAAAGAAAAAATCTAATGGTCGACCGAGTTTTATACTGTTGTATTAAGTAATAAAAAGTTTTTACAGCGCCATCTATCAGATATTTTCATTTCTGGTTTTTAAACATGAATTTGCATATCTTACAACTCCTATATCGATAAAAATATATAATCTTAATCAAAAACAATATTATCAATTTTTTTTCTGTAAAACTGCTTTAAGTCACAGAACCGTCGGTAAACCGCGGTTTACCGGCGGTATTATCGAAACCGGCGGAAACCGGCGGTATCTATATAAAAGTGACGACATGGGATATCTGCCGTGTGGAAAAGATGTAACACATAACCTATTTGTTTTTGATAAATATGGTACGATGATATACTCACGATAAGAAAAACAATAAAACATAAGATTTGGTGGATATCTACCATTGTTTTTTTTAATCTTCGATAAATAAGAATATAGAACACAATTTATAAAAACAAAAAGAAAACATGTTCTACTATGTAGTTTTTGCTACTGTTGCTATTCTTACAACTGTTTTAAATGGTAAACCAACAACATCATTGAAAAATGAACCAGAACGTTGTTGTATACCAACACAATTTAATTCACAATTAAGTACATCACATTCACTGCATATGTAAATCATTTATTCCTAAAATAGTTATACTTCGATCTATATTCGATTTATTAAATAAATAGGCATATTATAATTTTTCATATGATTCCAATCGTGGTCTAGTTGGAATGAAAGGTGTATCATTTTCGGTACCCGATCAACAGAAATCAAATATATGGATTATTGAAAATATGAATGATGGACAAATTTATGCCATAGATGAAGATGCGAAAAAATGTTATAAATCAACAATGCCAATTAAACCAATTCATTGTATACCAGGTATATAAAACTTGACCTTTGCTTGTTTATCTTTAACAATACGACTGTTTTTTTTATCCACTATAGATACAGCAACTTATGTACATTCATTTACATATGGATATGGTGACAAAAAAATTATTGGCGATACATGGCGTATACAAAATGACGAAGCAGTTGATTATGTAACAGTTAGTCGTGATGGTCGTTGTATTCTATTGACCGACTCTACTTTCTTTCAAAACCCTGGTAAGTAGACAGATAAGTTTATCTTTTCAATGGATTTTTTCTTTGATAATTTTAGCTCTTGTAGACGCAATGACAACAACAGATTTTGTACCACAAATTGATGATCCAAGTATATTTGATATACCACCGGAATGTAAAAATGCCATTTAGCTTGTACTTTACCTCTCGAAAACAGACATATATACTAATATAAAAATTCCTTTTACGTTTGGTTTTTATTATATTTAATTTTCAAAATGAACTCAAACCTTGCATTTAACTACAATAGATAATAATTGCTGTCTGCAAATCCGTTGACATCACAAGCTGTTTCTTTCCTATAGCACAAATAGTAACAATCGAGAATCTTTCTTTTTATAATCGAATAAAGGACGAAGAACATTCTGGATCGATTTTGGTCTAATTAGAAAACACGCATGGTCTGGCATGAAACGTTCAGCAATTGTAGAGCATAGAGTTAATAGTCTCTTCTACAAATTTCAGCTTGATCGGCCAAATTTTTGCTTTGCTTCACTGCCCTGACAGATAGACTTCTAGGTGATCTCTAGAGGAGTGAGAATGACAGCCAAACATTTCTTGGTTTCGGAAGAATATTTATCTTTTTTCATAGTTAATTTATATATTATTTGATGGAGAATCAAATTCTGCAAAAAAAACTATACGAATGGGTTCAAGTTAGAATCAAAAACTAATTACAAAAAGTTTAGTTTGCTAAGTCAAGGTGTAAGTGTAGGAAAATACAGGATCAAATTCAAACACACACTCCTCTTTTTCTTGTTACGAACATTGCAAAGAAAAAGAGGACAATACTACTTTTGCTGTGTTCCTACCTGTTTATTCATATTCAGAATATAAACAATTCATAGCTAATATTATTCGATATCAATTATGTTGTAATGTAAGAATCGTTTCCGATTATTTCTGAATCCATGTACATCACAATATAAAAATTGTTTTTGATTATCTGTGATCTACGACTGCTGCTTTACCTTCCTCTTTCAATCCATTCTGTTATTGTTTCATTCGTTCAAGTACGGCTAATCTCATATATAATGCCGGCCTTAAGATCATCGATTAGGTTCTCATAATTAATTTGCTTTCCAACTCTAAGCACTTTTGTTGTTGGGTATTTTTTTTTTCAATTAGTGTTGTTTCGTTACCGACATACATGAGGACAATAATGAACAGCTTCTTTAACGATATTACTTTTGGTGATGTATTATTATATTGTTCGATCATATGAAAGATCAATTCATAATTTTTCTCAAGTTCGAACATGAACTTCATTTACAAGTTTCGGCATTGTTTTTATTACTATTCATGATGACGAACATTTCAATTTTTTCATGGGTATCATATTGTTCGATGTGATTTTATAAAGATAAGACTCCATCGATTTGTTGGTATATTTGATCGTAAAATTGAATAATATTTCTAAATCATTCTTGTTTAGTTTTTGCCATTCTGAATCTTGCTTCTTCTTTTCCATGATGATACTAACAGCTAATCGAATGGTTAGAGATTTCACGTCCAAATTTATATAATTTAACCACCTAGCTAATGTAGCACTGAATATTGATGATAATCTCTTATCGAGTCGTTACTTGACTTTTCTTTCTATCTTTTTCACGACATGAGAAAGACAGTTCGCATTTTCTGCTTCGTCTACTTTTTTGTTTCGTCGTGAATGAGATAGTTACTTATGTTGATCGAGTTTTTTCGCTAAATAATATTTCATGAAGTCTTTGTTTTGATTGAAAGCGAGAGTATTTTGTTGTTTTCGTCGCCGATCCACTTGATCTCTTATCAAATAGAGAAATGTCACGAATAGTTTATTTGCATGCAATAACAAGTACAAATGGGAATCAAGGACTTAGGCACACTATTCTCTTTTTCTTTTAAGTAGATCATTACTATGTGTACCGTTCGAAGACTAATCAACAGATAAATCTGCTCCTAATTTCTATCTATAACAGATCGTAGCCTTTTATCGAACTCGAATGTTTTCGTGCGATGCGTTGAAATGTGAGGCGATGAATGCTGATCAATCTATCATTGTTTTGACATTTGTTCATGGATTAAAATCCTCCGATGGGATTAAATGTAGAAGATGAAAATGAAACAGTCGTCTGTGGATAGTAAAAACAGTGTGTAAACTTCATTTTACTTTCAGAATCCTACACATTGACGTGATCATAAGCATATAGACAACAATGCTGGTCGCTGCAACTGGTGTGAGCTTTGTCTTGCTGTCTTTGTTGTACAGCACTGGTAAGTGAAACTTGGATGAACGTTGTCAGAAATACAATCTCTCCTCATATCTAGCTGGCAACTGCTTGGTTGGTGGTGGTTGTGGAGCTGGTCTCTGCTGTTCGGCATACGGTTATTGTGGTACGGGTGCTGAGTACTGCGGTACAGCGGCGGGTAATTGTCGAACCTATGGCTGCCAAGCAGGACAATGCTGTTCGCAATTCGGCTAGTACGTAAATTGATTTTTTTCTTCCGAATTATTGCACTATTATTTTCATTCAGTTGTGGCACCACTGCAGAACACTGTGGTGGTGGCGGTGCTGTCATCAATCCAGGCGGTGGTGGTCAATGCTGGGGCGCCGGCTGTCCAGCAGGAACATGTTGTTCTGCACATGGATTGTAAGAGATCGAAGCGAAATGAATATATTTTGTAAGTAATAATACTTCATTATTATTCTTTAGTTGCGGAAACACTGCTGCTCATTGCGGAGGAACCGGATATGGCAATTGTGGCGTTACTGGTTGCGGCGCTGGTCTCTGCTGTTCGCGATATGGATAGTACGTAATCGTATAAGTAATCGATCTACAGAAAAATTTGTTCTAATTTAGTTGTGGCGCCTATGCTACTCATTGTCCTTACGGCAAGTTCTTGTCTAGAAAGCAACCAGCTTCACTCGAAGGCGAATTCCATGGAGAAGCAACGTATTACAACGAGACCATGGCCGGTTCAGAGTACAGCACTTGTGGTACAAGTCGAACTCGTTCATTGGATGAAAGCAACGAAAAAATCTACACGGCTGCTCTCAATGAAGTTCAATTTGATCCATACACTGTTGACGGTATTCCTAGTACCAATCCGATCTGTCAAAAGAAAGCTATCGTTAAGGGAGTCAAAGGTGAAATAGTGATACGATTTGTTGATCGTTGTCACGATTGTAAAAAAGGTAAATGCATTCGACTTGATAAAATTGATAGTTTCACTGGATTCTTCTAGGTGATATCGGTCTGACTTATGATGGTTTCATGGCCGTGGCTGGTGAACTTGGCAGTGGTCATACCAATATCGTATGGCATTTTCTTTAAAACAAAAAATCAGACAGATGTATAACTTCAAGATCTTATGTTTCTTCTTAAATGATGAAATCGCCATATCTTTTGTAATCAATATTCATTGTTCTACTTTTTTTTTCCTATCTACTGCAAAAATAAATTTTATCATTGTCACACGGCATACAGTCAAGCAAGATTGAAGCTATTTCCCATCATCACCAGCGATGGATTGTGGAACACTAGAGAGGAGAAATGATTCTAGCTGTCATGCAACATATTGCAATCTTTGATAAAGATTATCATCAGGTATACTTAGAATCATAACTACATTCATTCGTATACAATGAGCTATTACACAAAGTATTTGACTTTTCGGTCATCGGTTTTCCAGAATCAATTCTTTCTTTTTCACAAAAAAATACTATTTCTTGAGCATTTGTTGATCTAACAAGAAGAAATTAGTCCCATCCATCTTCATATTCATCAGGAGAACATCAAATCCATTAAATCAATGAAAATATGCATATCATCAAAAATATACGACACACCATAGGTAATTTTCTACTTTGAATAAAAATCATAGTAATGCTTAACATTGATAGTTTCAGTAAGATTCGATAGACACTTATTTCGTATTCATCAACGGATAGTTTGAACATGACTCTAGCAAGAATTAAAGTACTATACACAGTGCGCACTTGGTGATGCAAGTGCCAACAGTTAATCGAACATGCTTGATAGCACTTTGTCTTCAAAAAAATCTTTCACACGATCAAACTACATAATAACTTAATATATCATTCACTTCACGAAAAATTTCTCTTTCACACTGACGTAGTTGTGATAACACGCTTTCAATCATATCCTGCAATTGTTTCCCCTTATTGATAATGTATGAGTATTTTGACTGTATGAAGGGTGTGGGTGTAGGGCTTCTCTTCACCTATATCCGCATCCACACCCTCGACAATAAGATCTCATCATAGAAAAGTTGTGCTATATGTCCACATGCACATTTATATTTCATCAATCTTAGTTTTTCTTTATATTATATTCACAATAATTTTCATTTTCAACGCTTTCGTGTGTCCACAATAGATGAGATCGCAAACTACCTTAAGGCAAATCTATTCGATACCTATGAGAATGAATCTTGTGAACCTGCTGATAACAATGAATTACGATGAATGCCAGATTCGTTCTCTATTACTGAAGAGTCGTCGATATGTAAAACTGAGATATTATTTGAACTCAATGAATGGCTGGTGTCTGACTCAATTTTAAGTCGTCATAGATCGTTTCGTCTTTTTGAATGTCTTCGTCTTCTACTCAACAATCAAATTGAGCAATGACCTATGATAAATTTGCTCGCACTATTCGATGATATTATAAATTGGGTATAATGGTCAGAACGAATACTAGATATACGTTCCAATTTGGATCAAAAATATTAAAGCTTGATGAAAATAATAATCTCAGAGGCTATGATAAATGATTGAAGAGAAGCGTTCATAGTTTTTCAAATTTTGAAAATTAATACTCAATCCATAAAGAAAGTATGTCGATGTACTTGTTTGAAGACAAAGCAAGCAAATGTTCAATGTATTGTTTATATTTCGATAAATAAACTCTGATACGATTTGTATATATGCTCAATGCTCAGATTTTAGTGATTTAGTAGATTTAATTAAATAAATATATGAGACAATTGTGTGAGATATCCAAAAGAGATAAGGAAAAGATAAGAAAATCAGTTAAAAGGAATAATCATTTTTCTAATGAACGGTTCATAAAGATTGATTCTCTCAGTTATCGGATGATATTTGCTCATATTGGATGTGGATGTGAATGTAGGTCACGGAACATCTACACCCTCAATTGTTTGCCAATGGCAAATTTTCTATGTCGGATGATGTAACAAGTAACATCGCTCTGTACGTGTAGATAGTATATTTTAATTCTAATAGAAGAAATATTATAAACTCATTGTCTCAGCGCTGATACCGACAGAATTGTTTTTTCTAATACCAAAATAAGCATTATTTATAATGAGTAGAGTTGCTTCGGACAGATGTTGACTATCTATCTTTAGATATCTTCAAAGCATACAATGTCATTACGTCATTAAGCGATCCGGATATAGACATACGATTTGATATGCATAATATTATTTGTATAAAAATCAATACCAATAAATGGTCATGTCCGTTAATAATTACCGGCTGATAGAGATTCTCGAAAATAAAATTTCTTATTCGTAGATGTATTAAGATAAAATTTCCAATTTGTATTGTTATTTAAATTATTCATTTTCGATAGACGCGAATAATATTTTACATTTACTAATATATCGACATCATCATTGTATAGCAATACATATATTTGGATAATAAAAGTGGAAATCTGGGATTTTGAATAGTTTTTTTTTATTAAATTCTTCATAACACTAAGTGAAGATTATACATAACAAATTCGATGCGCGACAGTTAAGCTGCAGAAATATGAAAATTGGGTCAAATATAGATGTCCGCAGTTGCTATATGCAAGATAAACCAATATAACAGATTAGTGTAGATATAATTACTGCGTAGCAATCCAAATACAACTGTGATTAACATAATCAGATAGCTTACCACCACGCACAGGACTTGGGGATGAATTTCTAACGTTCACTGTAAAAATCATGTTCTCACTCATCCATTTCGATTAACCGAACTTGTATTATAGATTAATACATAGTCATTTAATTACTCACATGCAAAATTGGCTAGCTTTATCAAGAGCATTGTTGTGAAGACGTCGATATCTTTATGTAAGTATTGATTTCTCTAATGAAAATTTGTCAAATTTGAATTTTTATTCTAATAACGAAATTACAGAGAACCAAATTCACCAGGGATCATTTTGGTCTTACTAAGATGTCCTCATAGACACAACCACGACAAATATGATAAAGTATTTTGGATCGTTTGATAAACACTAAAAAGATCAGCTTTGAAAATGAATGATATCACTGCGAAGACTTAACTTTTAGGCGAAAAATTCCAGAATATTATTCCGCGCCTTTGATTTTCAATGAATAGGTGACAAAAAACTATTTAGGATCTTACCATGTTTTCTGTATGATCCTGATACTGTATCATAGCTAATCATGTATTCTATGTCATGCTTTTGACATATTTGATCAAATATTTTCATCAACTTCATATATACTTGGTGTTCACATGGTGTGAGTGTGGGTCAGAAGAAGAATTACACACAGACCCGATACCTACCTACACTCACACGCTTCATCAGAAATTTTATTTGAAATTACATTATATGAAATAATCATTTGTTTGCTCACTATTTTGAATATTCATATTAGCATGATTTATAAGGAAGAATTTTATTAACTGAATGTTGTTTATCAAACGAAACTCATAAAATGATATTTATGAATAAGAATTAATTTTATTTGCAGAATCTCCTTTTTTTTTGAGCAATTGTTTAACATATGTAGTATCATCTTTTTTTGAAGTACTTCATCTATCAATGATTCATCTCTATTGTAATGTACATCGATCGAAAATTTTTTTGGTAATATTGGTTATTTTACGAGTAACAAATGTTTTTTTTTTCAGAGCATCGGTTTTTCCTTTGATATTTTTCTCTCTTCTTTATTTATTTAATTATTTTTCTTAATTTAGTAGTTTCAACATATTAGAATCATTTGGTATCTGAAGTGATGGGTATTCACTTATTGCAAATCTACATTGATTCTTCCGTATAATTATACAACTTTAAGAAAATATGACTAGAATATCCACCGAAATAATTTCAAATCGATACCAATGTCCATATAAAATCATATTTGATTTTTAGGGACTAAAACGATTGCTATTGACAGCTATGTTCTTTATCGTTATCTTTATTCGATTAGTTATGAAATTACAATACTGGTAGTATTTGTATGAACCAACAAATTCGAACAATAACAAATTTCTTGAAACTCTGGTCGTTTTGAGGCTATACAAGCCGACGTTTCACCATACTTGTTTATCCGACTGAGATGTTGCTTTTGAATATCGAATATTTTCTTTCTCGGATCATATTCAGCCGTCACTTCGAATTGTCCTTGACCGGGCGTCGTTTCGAGCTGAATTTGATAGAATTTCGTGTTATTCAACGATTGAAATGAATCATTCTCAAATCGCGACACTCCAGCGCCTTTGTTACTCGAATTTACAAACTTCGAGGGACGACGACTAGCTTCAAATTGACTCGCTTTGTTCACTCTAAGTATAGCGAGTCTAGCACAGTCCTGTTTGTGATCTGACACAAATTTGTTCAAGAAATCAACAACAGCTCGACTGAACTGCTGAATGATCGGCTCATTGACCGATATGTCATGCCAGTCGAGACACGTACACCAATGCTGTGTGACACCTGCCTTTGCACAAGTTCGATTTTCGGGCACTAACTCAAATAAACTAAACGAACGACTAGATTGCGATTGATAAGGAACGAGTGAATGAAATTTGAAAAGATGTTCGAATGTTTCATGAAGATCGAATGGTGTTGTCAAACGGCGTGAGTTAAAACGTAGGTTTCTCATGATCGTCGGATATTGAGTTTGAAATTGTGGTGGCATTCGAATGGACATGAAAGGTAAACGCTCTTCCAATTTACCCTGATAAGTATTTCGTAATGATGCATACCGAGCACCATGATCAGTCATGACAATGAGTATCGTGCGATTGAGATAACCATGAGTTTGCATCATTTGAAGAAATGCTAATAGTTCGTTGTCGGCATACGGTAAACGATTGTTGGAATTGTGCGAATAATCAGAATGGAAAAGATACGAAAATTTCGGCTGATGAGGATACATGTCGAAGAAATCGCGAATCCAATTGAACATTGCTTGAAGACGAGTAATCGAACCAAAGCAGAGCGGTTTCGATGTTTTCTGCGACTCGGCAAAGAGATAGAATGGACGACCATAATAGTCGACTGGTGGATCACGGAAGCCTTTGAGACGATATTGAAAT